GACTAAACCAGGACTAAACCAGGGACTAAACCAGGACTAAACTAGAACTAAAACAGGGACTAAACCAGGACTAAACCAGGGACTAAACCAGGACTATAACAGGGACTAAACCAGGACTGAACCAGGACTGAACCAGGACTAAACCAGGACTAAACCAGGACTAAACCAGGGACTAAACCAGGACTAAACCAGGACTAAACCAGGGACTAAACCAGGACTAAACCAGGGACTAAACTAGGACTAAACTAGAACTAAAACAGGGACTAAACCAGGACTAAAACAGGGACTAAACCAGGACTAAACAAGAGCTAAAAAAGGACTAAACCAGGACTAAACCAGGGACTAAACCAGGACTAAACCAGGGACTAAACCAGGACTAAACAAGTTTTGTTTATATTAAATTAACACAACCAACTAAACTACAACTAAACGATTTTATCTGGACTTTATCAGAAAATAATACTAAATCAAGGACTAAAACCAGGACTAAATTAGGGCTAAAACAGGACTAGACCAGAACTAAACAAGGACTAAATCAAGTACTAAACCAGGGACTAAACCAAGGCCCAAATCAGGACTAAACAAGAGCTAAAAAAGGACTAAACCAGGACTAAATCGGGCACTGAATCAAGGCGCAAAACATGACTAAACCAGGACTAAACCAGGACCTAAACCAATGCCCAAACAAGGACTAAACCAGGACTAATCTAGAGCTAAAAAAAAGGACTAAACCAGAACTAAACCAGGACCTAAACCAATGCCCAAACAAGGACTAAACCAGGACTAATCTCAAGATCAAAAAAGGACTAAACCAGAACTAAACCAGGACCTAAACCAATGCCCAAACAAGGACTAAACCAGGACTAATCTAGAGCTAAAAAGGGACTAAAGCAGGACTAAACCCAGACTAAATCAGGCACTAAACCAGGGCCCAAACCAGGACTAAAACCAGAACTAAACAATGCCCAAACAAGGCCCATACCAAGAGTAAACCAGGGACTAAAAAAAAGACTAAACCAAGGACTAAACCAGAGACTTTAAACAGGATTAGACCAGGTTTACAAAAAAATAAAGCATGTAATTACGACCCAGAGAACAAACTTTTTAAGTCCTTCACACATTACGGTTGTGAACTTTAAACTAATCCCTGATCCTCGTGTATTTCAGAACATGTTTGTAGCTCTGAACTAAAGATACACGATTTTTTGTGTATAAAAGAGACGGGACACTTTGTTCTTTTCAGAGATAATTCTATTGTCTGAGATTTGATAACTGTTATTTCAATTCGATTGCGAGATGTTGTGCAACGGCGTCCACCATCAGATATTTAAAAAACAAAACTCAGGTCGTCTTTTGGGACTCTTTAGGGCCGTCAAAAAGATCGAAAATCAGATACGGATCAATACTCAAACTAATATCGAAGCGAGATCCTCATTTGAACAAGAATCAAAATGAAAAAAGTCGCATTAACAGGACAGAAATCAACCTCGGGAACAGAAAATAAAGTACTGCCACCACAATCTATTGTCTAAAACTAAAACGAGGATGAGCCATTTATTTTTTACATGAGACACGGAAAATATTGTGGAGGTCAAAACGCTTAACTCAATTCTGCAGAACATAACTGCTTTTTATAAAGAAATACAATTAAATATCATTGTTTTGAGGAGTGGGTACGACAGGGAAGAGTACCGTATTTTTTGGACTATAAGTGGCACTTTTTTTTCATGGTTTGGGTGTTTCCTGTGACTTATTTATTCAAATGTTCACACAGACAGACAGGGGGCGCTCTAGTCTTGTGTGTGAGTATCTGCTGCTCCTGTTCCTCCTGCACCAATGTCACTCGGCTCTACTGCGCATGTCTCCTGCAGAAAGAGCCTCTGTTCTGTCTGTGTCATGTCAGTCGATCGCACCGTTACTTCTGAATCCGTGTGTCGTTCGTTCATTCGTTTTTCAATATAAAACCAAAAATATGAAAATGAAAAAAACAACAATTTTCTTCATTATTTGTCTCCAAAACCAAAATGAAAAAAAAAACAGATATTTGTTTTTTCAATTTTGTTAAATGAAAATGGAAAAAACAGATAATTTCCGTTTATGTGACTTCAGTGAATACTTTTGTATGCTTATGAATCAGGACTGATGAAGACAGATACACCAGTAGATGAGACCAGATCCGACTTTGACTCCGAGCCTCCGCAGGGTCCGAGGTAGACTGAGACTGAAACCAGACCGGGACCAGACCTGTACAGACCTGGACCACCTAGAGCCAACGGCAGGGCCGGAGCTTTCGGAGTCAAAGCTCTCTGCTACCCGGTTTCCGGTCTGGTCCCGGACCTGGATCAGTCCTGGTTTAGTCCGTTGCTGCAACAGTCCAGCATCGCAGTCACGGAAGTCAAGTAAACGAGAAACATTTATCCGTTTTTTTTCCATTTTCAAAACAGACCTTGTTTTGAACAGACATACTCTAGTTTATGAAACTGTTCACCTTTTTTTAAAAAGTTCCATTTTAAACAGACCATGTATGAAACATGGAACAAAAAATTATTTCCCAAATTTCAAAGACCTGAAAATCATGTAAATAAATGGATGTATTTCATCATATCTTGTGTTATTCCATCTTTGAACTGTTGATGAAGGGACATGATTTAAAAAAAAAAAAAAAAAAAGTATTTAAAATGATAAAAATTTGCTTGGAAGGACTGACATATTTTATAGAAATAGTTTCCTTTCATTTTGAAGTAATATTAAAGTTTTCAGAAGAAAAAAGCGACAAATGATGTAAAATCCTGCACCTTCTACTTGTTTGAACAATTTTCCCTCCGTTACTTTTCCCTCCGTTACCATGACCTTTCTTAATAAAAAATCTCATGAGTCAAAAAGTAAGAGGTTTTTCAGCCTAATCTTGTACCATATGGTAGAAAACTATATGAAGCAAATATTCAAACCAGTTTGTTAAGGATATGGAAGTGAGAACCAAGAGTTATCACTGTTTGGATTTATTGACCAAAAAGTGCTGCATATTTCATTCCCTCCGTTACCGACATGAGTTTTTTAATTTTTTGTCAACAACTTGAAAGAATCTCACAGGTTTAACTTGACCCTGTTGGAGTGTAACTCTTTCCTACATTCTGATACTTTACTTATTTCAATAGTTCCTCTAGTTTCTGAATAAGAGACATTTGAATGTAAAAAATCTGCCCCTGTTTCCCTCCGTTACCACTTGACCAGACCCAGATGTAAAATACAGCTGTTTAAAGTCACACAGTGGGACATTCCAGACAGAGCAGCGACGTCTCCATAGAAACAAGCAGGTGACGGACGCCTGGAGCTGCCGCCGTGTGAGTTCTGGAGTAAATATTTTTTGGAGTTGTGTGATTTAAAAACACAGTGACAGATGTGTTGTCAGTTCTTTTAGGTGCCGATCCATCAATCCAGCACAATCTGCCCATCATAACGGAGGAAAAGAGAGAGAGAAGAGAGAGAAGAGGAGAAAAGAGAGAGAGAGAGAGAGGAGGAGAGAGGAGGAGAGGAGGAGGAGAGGAGAGGGTAACTACACCTGTCAGATTCAAAAAGCACCTGTCAGTTTCTTAAACACAACAGAGTCAAATAGAAACTGACTCAATAAAGAGAAAGACGAAGCAAAAGATTAAAAACACCAAGACTGAACCAGGACTGAACCAGGACTGAACCAGGACTGAACCAGGACTGAACCAGGACTGAACCAGGACTAAACCAGGACTAAACCAGGACTAAACCAGGACTTAAACCAGGACTAAACGGACTGGACTACCAGGACTAAACCAGGACTAACTAAAGGACCAGGACTTAACCAGGAACCAGGACTGAACCAGGACTAAACCAGGACTAAACCAGGACTAACCAGGACTAGGACTAAAACCAGGACTAAACCAGGACTAAACCAGGACTGACCCCAGGACTAAACCAGGACTGAAACCAGGACTAAACCAGGACTAAACAGGACTAAACCAGGACTGAAACCAGGACTAAACCAGGACTTAAACCAGGACTAAACCAGGACTGAACCAGGACTAAACCAGGACTAAACCAGAAACCAGGACTAACCAGGACTAAACCAGGACTGAAACCAGGACTGAACCAGGACTAAACCAGGACTAAACCAGGACTAAACCAGGACTGGAACCAGTGAACCAGGACTAAACCAGGACTAAACCAGGACTAAACCAGGAAACCAGGACTGAAAGGACCAGGACTAAACCAGGACTAAACCAGGACTAAACCAGGACTGACTAAACCAGGACTAAACAGACTGAACCAGGACTGAACAGGACCAGGACTAAACCAGGACTAAACCAGGACTAAACCAGGACTAAACCAGGACTAAACCAGGACTGACTGGACTAAACCAGGACTAACCAGGACTAAACCAGGACTAAACCAGGACTAAACCAGAACCAGGACTAAACCAGGACTAAGGACTAAACCACTGAACCAGGACTAAAGGACTAACCAGGACTAACCAGGACTAAACCAGGACTAAACCAAAAAACTAAACTAGGACTGAACTAGGACCAGGACCAAACAAGGGCTGAACCAGCAGGGACTAAACCAGGACTAAACAAAGGACAAATCCAGGAGGACTAAACCTGGTCTAAATGAAAACTAAACTTGGGTAGACTAGAACTAAACTAGAACTAAACCAGGACTAAACCAGGACTAAACCAAGAGCTAAACAAGGGACTAAACGAAACCTAAACTAGGTCTAGACCTAAACTAGGGCTAAATCGGGACTAAACGAAACAAAATCAAACCAATTGATTCTAGTGAAGGTGTGTGGAGTTTAAAAACACAGTGGAGCACTTCCTGTATCACCACATGATGACATCACAAGGTGGAACAGAGCGTTTTCTAAAGCCTAAATAAATCTACAGTTATTTTTTTTTTGTGTGTTAAACATGTGAGAACGAAATGAAACAAAAACAAAAAACAAAACAAACTCCAGGTCGGTTGAAACTCACCGGTCGGAGAGTTTTTTGGCGAATCCGAAGTCGGTGAGTCGGATGTGGCCTTGTGCGTCCAGGAGGATGTTCTCGGGTTTGAGGTCGCGGTACACGATGTCTTTGGCGTGGAGGTACTCGATCGCACACACGATCTCGGAGGTGTAGAAGAGACCGGCCGCGTTGCTGAAGCGCCCCCTACTGCGCAGGTAACTGAACAGCTCGCCCCCGGGAACGTAGTCCAGCAGCATGTAGAGGAAACGCTCGTCGTGGTGAGTCCAGAACCTGACACCCAAAAGAAAATGTGTAAAGACCCAAGAACACGGACTACGGGCTTTTACGGACTTTACACGATTTTTAAATGGGCGACAAAAATAAAGCGTAAACCACAGAACGAGGTAAAACAAAACAAAAACTAAACTAGGGCTAAACCAGAACTAAACCAGAACTAAACCAGGGACTAAACCAGGTCTAAAACAGGACTAAACCAGAACTAAACCAGGGATTAAACCAGGTCTAAAACAGGACTAAACCAGAACTAAACCAGGGACTAAACCAGGTCTAAAACAGGACTAAACAAGGACTAAATGAAAACTAAACCAGGTCTAAAACTGGACTAAACTATGACTAAACCAAAACTAAACTAGGGCTAGACCAGAATTAAACCAGGGTCGAAACCAGGACTAAACCAGGGTTAAAACAGGGCTAAACCAGGTACTAAATCAGGACTAAACCAAGTCTAAAACAGGTCTACACTAGGACTGAACCAGGTCTAAACCAGGACAAATCCAGGACTAAACCAGGTTTCAAACCAGGACTAAACCAGGTACAAAAAAAGGGACTAAATCAGGACTAAACCAAGACTAAACTGGGACTAAACCAGGTTTCAAACCAGGTCTAAACCAGGACAAAACCAGGACTACACTAGGACTAAACTAGGACAAAACCAGGTCTAACCCAAGTCTACAGAAGGTCTAAACAAGGTCTAAAACAAGACTAACACCACGACTAACACCAGGACTAAAACTACCTGAACAAATCCAGACTAAGAACTAAAACCAGGACTAAACCAGGTTTAAAACCAGGTCTAAACCAGGAAAAAAAACAGGACTAAACTAGGACTAAACCAGGTCTAACCCAAGTCTAAACCAGGTCTAAACAAGGTCTAAATCAGATCTAAATCAGGACTAACCCGGTATAAAACCAAGTCTAAAGCAGGACAAAACCAGGACAAAACTAGGACTAAACCAGGTCTAAACCAGGTCTAAACAAGGTCTAAAACAGGTCTAAACCCAGGACAAGAACAGGTCTAAACAGGACTAAACCAGGACTAAACCGTGCCGCTCGGACCACACACTGTGCCTCCTCCAAGTACGCTCGTAATCATATGAATGAAATATATTTAATACCACACTGCGGAACATTTTCAGCTAAAGTGGTAAAATATTTCTGAAATGAGCCGAGATGAGTTTGATAAATCCTTTTTCGTTGACTCACAGCGAGATGAGGAAGGGGTGGTTCACTTCAGACAGAACTTCTTTCTCGTTGTGGACGTGAGTTTCCTGCTTCAGTCGAATCACGTCCGGGATCTTCATCTGTTTCAGAGCGAAAAACTCCCGACTGTGTTTGTCTCGGACCAGGAAGACTCGGCCGAACGTGCCCGTGCCTGAAGGGGGCAGCAGAGAGAACACAGACAGAGAGAGAAAGAGAAAGAGAAAGAAAGAGAGAGACGGGGTATTAGCGGGAAAAATACAAAAAACACTACCAACCACAGCCACAAGAGGGCAGTAACACAACAAATGATGAATAATAGACAGAAATGACATGTTTAAACTTTCAATTAAACCAGGACTAAACCAGGACTAAACCAGGACTAAACCAGGACTAAACCAGGTCTAAACAAGGACTAAACCAGGAACTAAACCAGGACTAAACCAGGACTAAACCAGGAACTAAACAAGAACTAAACCAGGAATAAACCAGAGCAAAACCAGAGACTAAACCAGGACTAAACCAGGACTAAACCAGGTCTAAACAAAGACTAAACCAGAGACTAAACCAAGACTAAACCAGGAACTAAACCAGGACTAAACCAGGTCTAAACCAAGACTAAACCAGGAACTAAACCAGGACTAAACCAGAGACTAAACCAGGTCTAAACAAGGACTAAACCAGGAACTAAACCAAGACTAAACCAGGACTAAACCAGGTCTAAACAAGGACTAAACCAGGAACTAAACCAGGACTAAACCAGGACTAAACGAGGACTAAACCAGAGCAAAACCAGGGACTAAATCGGGGCTAAACCAGGGCTACATGAGGACTAAACCAGGACTAAATCAGGTCTAAACCAGGTCTAAACCAGGGACTAAACCAGAGACTAAACCAGGTCTAATGCAGGGCAAAACCAGGTCTAAACCAGGACTAAACCAGGAATAAACCAGGACTAAACCAGGGCTAAACCAGGGACTAAACCAGGAAAACCAGGGACTAAACCAGGACTAAACCAGGACTAAAAACCAGGACTAAATAAACCAGGACTAAACCAGGAATAAACCAGGACTAAACCAGGGCTAAATCAGGACTAAACCAGGACTAAACGAAGACTAAACCAGGTCTAATGCAAGGCTAAACCAAGACTAAACCAGGGACAAAACCAGGAACTAAACCAGGACTAAATTAGGACTAAACCAGCGACTAAACGAGATCCTCATTTGAGCAGATATTGATGTTAAAACAGTCACATTCACAGGACAGAGTGAACAGGCTGAAACTCGACTCTGACCTCAGGGACTGTTGGAGGGATTTTAAAACGTGCTCATGTGGAGTGTGAGGTTTTTTAATTAAACGACGACAGAATGAACAGTTTGATTGTAAAAGGACGAGTACGTGGATGTATTTTAATCGTTCATAAACCCGTCCAGGGACTAAAGACGGAAACCGGCTTCAGCTAAATGTGATCAATAGATGCTCCCTGTTAAAAAAGACCAATAAAATAAATTAAACCTTTCCAGCTCCTCCCCCTCTGTCCCGGCTCCAGACCGACTAGTGGCCGGTCGAGGTACTGCGGCTCTCGGGAGGACAACTTTCGTGAAGATCGGACTTTGTAGGATTCTTTTCTATTTTCACAACATAAAGTTTTAATTTTAAATCCTCAAAGAGCCTTAAAGTTAGTTCTGTAAAGCACAATTCATGGTCGTGCGTCAAATCGTCTGCATCACGACGTAGAGAGTCTGCGTCGCCGTGAACTGTGTCGACCGACGTGCACTTCAGAAACGAAAACTCGAGCCAACGCAGACAGCGAGGGGAAACCGACACAGACAATAAAGGCTGTGATTGGTCGTCTCTCCATCCGCTCCACATACTCAGCTTTCCCGCTTCATTTTGTAAACACGAACACTATTTTTAAATCGCTCTAATTGGTCCAAACACTATGGGGATGTAACGATATTGGCAACATCACAATATCGTCGTAGTAAAATTGCCACGATATCGTTGTGGTCTCGTTTCGATATTAAACCGAGTGTCTTTAGGCAACAAGTAAGAATTTTCAGTTTACTCAATAACGACTTTTAAGTCTGAGGTCGTAAAAGCATCGTGGGTTTGTTGTGACATGAAACGAGAAAAGAGAAAAGGTGACGGGCAAACAGCAGACAGTGTACAGACACAACACACCCTGCGGTTCACCTCAGGAAATACGAGCGACATGAGAAGTCACTTGATAAGACGACATGACGGAATTGTGACTGAGTGATTTGCACCATTTTCCAGGGTGGACGGCGTCGGGTTTAAAAGGTTTGGGACTAAACTGAAGCCGAAATCTAAAACGCCACCACATTTAAGTTTGTTTTTTTATTTCCTACAGGACGACTCAAATATACATGGAGTAATAATGTGTTTCATGCAGATTTGTGCACATTTGTTTATGTTTTACAGAAACAAAACTTAGAAGCCACATGACTAATTTGCATAAACTATAAGCTCTGAAAAAAACAGCTCGCTCCTTATGCTGATGCGGTTCAGTTTCTGTCAGACTTACACCTCGAGGCTCCAGACGACTGAGGCGTGTGTGTTGAGTCGACGCAGAAATAAACTTCGGCCTTAAGATTTAACCTCACCGCTCTGAGCCGGCGCTCGCTCCGCTCCAGCAGCTCTCGCTCGAATTG